CCCATCGTAGAAGACCAAAAATTAGGAAACCTATTTCATGACATTTTCTTACCAAGTTGTCGACTTCACTGTCATCACTGAAAAACGGTTTGCCTTCCTGTTCCTGGTGTCGTACAAACGTCTCTATATCCACGTCAAAGCTTGCTGATGTCGGTGGATCTGTACTTTGTGTCGCTTGTTCACATTTCTCAAATAAAAGAGCCATAAGAGGAAACAAAGGATGCCTACAACAAACAAACAATTATGAAGAATAATAACTTTTTTTCTCAATCATCACCAAACTGAGGAGTGTTTGTTTCATGTTTAAAGATAATGTTTTATTTGATGTTGATAGTAAAATCAGAATAGTATGTTTATTATATAATTATGTCCGATACTGGAAGGCAGTGACACAAATCACTATCAGGGACTCCTTGATGGCATCTCTGGATGGAAAGTGTATCTCTCTAAACCTACTCAACATTTCTTTCAATTGAGAGAAGATTTTTATATGGTTTACAATTTTCTGTTAGAAACAGGGATTTTATGATTAATTGATAAAATAATTACGAGGTTTCAGTCAACTTTAATCATGTAGAAATCATCGTCAACATAATTACAGATGAAAATGCAAATAAGTAAAATAAAAACTGCTGTGTTATTCTATCAGTGTTGTTCAAGGGTACGAACAGCATGGCGGTATTGCCACAGTTTGTTCTATCACCACACTGGTTAGATTTTGCTGACATCCAGAGTGGTTTAACAGTGTAGAATTGATACTTTGCTGAAAACTGAAAACTTTGCATTGAAAGTTACGTAACTAAATAATTATGTTCATTACATAATTTAGTATGTTATTTATCACAATTTCTGTAATAATAATGCAAATAAAATGTTATGCAAATTATTATGTTCAATTATGACACCACAGTGGATTAAATTTCTGAGTAGTAGTGTCCTACATTCATCACAACATGGGAGCATACTTTGGATTGACAAAAAAATTCACAGCGGTTTATCTCGTTAAACCCATCATTCTTGAGTGAATTCCATAAACAAGATATGACAAGTAGTAGTACAATATGAAAGAAGGTGACGAAGAGTCCCACACAATGACATTCTCTCAGCTATGTGGTAATATCACATGGCATCCATATTAGGAATATATCTAATTACGCTCAGCTTAAAATTATTCATTGAAATATTGCTACAAATTTATTGTATACTCAAAATAAATTTAATAATTTTAATCTGTTCCATTTTTTAAAGATGTTAAAAATCAGTTTGGAACACTGAAAAAACAGAAGAATTATTAAATAGTGATCAAATCTAGAACATTGGCTAGCAGTGAATTTAAAGGTCGTGGCTGACAAGAAACCCTATTGCCAGGAATGTGCGTTTATTTGGTCTGCAGTGGTTCTAGAAACTTAAGCCACTGTAGCCTGGAAAAATGGTACTTATAAATTTGCATGTTATTTGCATAATTATCAAACAAAAGTTATGATGACTAAAACACTGAATTTATCGTTTAAAAATTCAGAGTTTTCAGCAATTTATCAAATTGATTTAAAAAGTGAGAGCAATGGCACAGTGGGGAATAAACTACTGTGACTATCGGGATAATAACTGGTAGTGTAAGAACAAAACATTGTGGTGGTACTGCCATGCTGTCTGTGGAAAAGACTGTACTAACACTGCACACACTAAGACGTCCAAATACCGTAATTTAGTGTTAAACCGAGGTTATAGTATTTCATCATCATAAATAACCTTGAACTTCTAAGCCCGACACCTAATTTGCCTTTTCAGTATCTGCTTGTCTTAAATAAAAAATAAAATTAAATAAAGTAATTTTCGCCATACCTGTATACAGCTCGTTTGTCATTTTCTAATATGGTATGCGTGTCCACGATAGCAGCTGATTGTACAACATGTTCCAAAGTTTGTGTTGGTTGTGACAATGACGGTTGTGGAGTTACCGACTGTGTAGGTGTTGTAACTTGCCGTACTTGAATGGATTGTGTGGCAGCCTGGCTGATAGCTTGTGCAGTGGATACTTGTACTTGTTGTATATGTGCATCCTGGTACGAGGGAGGAGCTAACCCAGTATGTGCCTGTATAATAGATATAGGTACCGGTGTATGATGCATGATGACGCTTGTAATCTATTCACACCAAACTGGCCTATCCAGAAATCTGAAGTTAAAAATTAATGATTAATTCATAAGTTGCATTGAAATATAACTATAATTTTTAAGTGCATATGTATATTGATGTAAGACTACTTTTCACTCTCTCAAACTACTACTGTATAAAAGGCCTATGTATATTGATGTAAGACTACTTTTCACTCTCTCAAACTACTACTGTATAAAAGGCCTATGTATATTGATGTAAGACTACTTTTCACTCTCTCAAACTACTACTGTATAAAAGGCCTATGTATATTGATGTAAGACTACTTTTCACTCTCTCAAACTACTACTGTATAAAAGGCCTATGTATATTGATGTAAGACTACTTTTCACTCTCTCAAACTACTACTGTATAAAAGGCCTATGTATATTGATGCAAGACTACTTTTCACTCTCTCAAACTACTACTGTATAAAAGGCCTATGTATATTGATGTAAGACTACTTTTCACTCTCTCAAACTACTACTGTATAAAAGGCCTATGTATATTGATGTAAGACTACTTTTCACTCTCTCAAACTACTACTGTATAAAAGGCCTATGTATATTGATGTAAGACTACTTTTCACTCTCTCAAACTACTACTGTATAAAAGGTCTATGTATATTGATGTAAGACTACTTTTCACTCTCTCAAACTACTACTGTATAAAAGGTCTATGTATATTGATGTAAGACTACTTTTCACTCTCTCAAACTACTACTATTAATCTTTTCACCAACACAATTATTCTGCACTTTTTTGTTTGTATTTTTCAATATTTTCTGGAAATGAACCCTAATTTTGGAGCTAACATACAAAATTTGTGTCAAATTTTAGTTTTTATTCAAAACGTTTGGCTATTTTCGTCCCAATCTTTTGAGGGAAAGTGCAGACTATAAACAGGACTATTTTGTAAATTTGTGATGAAAAGAAGGAACTGGTGGTGAAAAGGTTAAATAAAGTATGTATTTATTTACAATTTTTAAAATTGATATTCACACTAAATTAAGTCTACATAAATATGTTATAATTGAACCCTTTGCTTTATTGGTAAATATCATAAATCCACTATTAAATCCATAATGATTAAAACAGTAAAATTAAATAAGAGTGAAATATAATACCATAACATTATATTAGTATATTTATTTCATACCAGTGTTGGATATTTGTTACACATTCACATAATTGATTACAGAATTTTAATAATTCTTATCATTTTACGGTTTTGTTTTTAATTCAGGGTAAATTTATAACCTATGAAATTAGATTACAATCAAAAGTTTTTAATTTAATTATTATTTATCTTAAATGTATCTGTTATAATCTTACTTTGCAAGATTTTTAACAGTTACTTTTTAATTGTCTTTGTTCGTCTAGGAATTTTAAGGTAGCAACGGGAGAAAAACATTCAAAATTAATCTGTGATTCAGAAATTTTCTAAAAGTTATTAAGCATGAAACTATAACAACCTATACCTCATCTGAAGAACGATGAATACTGTGATACCAATGTTTGTCTAAAGCTATACCTTATGGTTAATTTCACTTTTGTCGTTATTTTTTTACTATTACATACTTTCAGTCATGCGAATAACCTGTGAATTGCGTGAGATAATGCTGTGGCTAGAAGACATTTGTTATATCTTTCTTTGTTTTCTAGCTACATGTACGACCATACAACATACTATGCTACAGTTTTGACTGGTTGCAGTTAGAAAACTAATGCACAGATAAAAATATCAAAACAAAGGTTTCATATACAATGTCATGAAAAGCTGCTTCCAAAAAACAACACTTCAAA